TCGTGTCTTTGATGATGTTGCACAGCACATCAGGAATGCCTGCCTACACTATTTTGGTTCACAGAATCCTACTGACCTACATTTTTAACTTTGGCTGATAGATATTTTTGTAAAGCCCCTTAGGAATAACATCAGGGAACTCTAAAGAGCAAAAGTATTATTTTATGGAAGAGTATATCCCCTTGAGAAAAGTCTTTACCAAGCTATTAATCTTGAAGTCTAAAGTGGCTGTCGCCAGAGGAGCATCTGATATAATATACTTACTCTTTTCATCTTTAGACTTTTACTGCCCCTTTTTTTCCAGCAAGCACTCTTTCTTTACAGACAAAAGGATGCAAACAAGTTCTCTTGAATAGTTTTTCCAAACTATTATTTTACATATTCAGTTCATAACCCCTTATCCATTGTCTTTCATACACAAACTCTCCTAACCACTGTATTCTCTCCTTATGTTAGCCCTCTCCCTATTATCCACTATGTAACTGCTTTTATGTCTAATTATTTTTTGTTGATCAGTTCTTAAATTCCTTTCATTTTTTGAAGAGGAAAAAAAACCAACAGACACCATTTCTAAGTTGAGGAGTTTCACAAGTTATATACAAAAGAATTTCTTTAAAAGAAATAGGACAGCAAGTGATGCTGAAACCAAGTATTCAATAACACTCATAACTGCTTGCAATTAAAAACATTCACTACCACCTGCTTTTTTAAAGTACTGATGGCTTTTCAAACAGCTTCTTTTCGTTTTTAAAAACTGTCTGCAAGACAAATTATCTTTCCAACACAGACTGTGCCAAGGTCAAAAAAAAGAAAAACAAAAGGGACTTACCTTGAATAACATGAGAATTATCTTTCAGAAAGAAGTTATACAAATACTTGGGGATAAAAGCAGACATGCAGGCGTATGCCAGAGCTGAAAGAATTAGAAAAATGGATGCAACTACAGAGGTAGAAACACAAGTACACCTAAAAAAGTTAATTATTAAGCAGATAATAGGCATAAATACTTAAATCAATCTATACACAAAAACAATTGTAAAACACATAGAAAGGGCACATTCCTCACTAAAGAATTTTAAAAGCTCCTAAAAACTCCTGTCACTGAGTAATCAGTAAAACACTGGCTGGACCTGATCTGCTCCCAGTTTACTTACATACTTCACAGTGACAAAGTAATGAGATGATGTTTGGAAAGCCATGGTGATGTTTGTATCAAAAAGTGAAGATCCCTGGATGAATAAAATTCTAGAAGACAGTTTCAAACAACTGCATTATTGCAGTCTTCTGGTTTTTCTCCTATAGAACTTACACCCAGTTTATGCCCCATCGGACTTGCATCGTGTCTCTTACTTCAGCTCAGAGACTAAAGACAATAAAATTCAGAAGAAAAAAACCAGAGTGGAATATAATTAAAAATACTGTCAAAAAGATGGACAAAAACATCTTAAATTTCTCAACAGCTCCTCACATACATACCAAATAGAGATTAGAGGGTAAAAACTTAAGTGTTTATCTCCTTGATTAATTCCTGGGAACTTGGCTGAGAGACAATCTATTGTAATACAATTCTTAGCCATGGTGCTAGACCACAGATATAAAAAAGAAATATGGGTTTGTTGTAAATGATCCAAAGACAATAAATATAATTTTGGAAGTTTCTAAGCAAAACATCAGATTTACAGCAAATATGACATAGGATCATGTTATAAACAAATTCTGTGTTACAACTTCTCTAGTACTGAAACCACTTTTTAAATACGCGAGCCAAATGTGTTCAATTAAGTTTGCAAACCAGAACACACAATTTTGTATAATTCGCTACTATTATATTTTGCTTCAATGGGAAAGAAATCAGGTTCTACAATCAAACTATATAGGAACATGTCCAAGAGCAAGAAAAATCTGTTGAAATATTTAAATTAGTATACCCAGTAGGCATAATAGGGGTCATTGTCCTAAGAAACTAGTTTTCCCACACACAGAGCTTATATAAAGAAAGCCAGGTGCAAGAGAATAGAAGATTAGACTAGACCTATTCTGAACAAATCACGTTCTAAGAAGATAAAGGCCACATATCCAAAGCTGGTCTGATAAGCTTTTAGGCATTTAAAACCATCATCAGCTTTTCTGAACAAAGCTAGTCTGACAGGTTAACAGTTAGGTTAACAAATAATGCATTCACATTGAACAAGGCTGAACTACAGCTTCACTGAACAAGACAAGTACTAGAGAAGCATTTCTTGCTTTTCCATAATCAAGGCTATTTGTGCTTTTTATTACATATTCATTATTGTACTTGGCAATAAACACAGGGTTCGAACCCTGTGCTTGAAGAGCAGTACACCACATAAACTTTTCAAAACCCAACCATTTCTTTTGACCTGTGGCAACAAGAGCTTTAAAATCCCTTTGTAGCTACAGAAAGTTTCCATCTATAAGCGGGTGCACACACATCTGTTTACAACTAGATACAGATGGCAGGCTGTGCTTTCCCTTCACCCCCAGCAGAAAAAGGTACTCACCTTCATTGTTAAAATTCAAGTACAGAAATGGTGCACAGAGAGAGTCAAGACCTGAAAGAGAGAAAAGCCATGAAGAAATGGCATAAAGAGCTCATTTATTGTAATGCACAAGATAAATTCATTAATTTACCATGAAAATTTGCATACTTGATACTAATTATAATTCTGCAATGTCAGGCTTCACATGTAATGCCGAGAGCAACTGTAAAATCAATACATGAAAACAGAGAGGAATTCAAATTGTTGAACTATAACACTGAATTGATTATTCTGCCAAGGCTTCCAAGAAATGCAATTTACTGTCCCAAGAACTAGCACAGTAACTTCTGCAGTTTTACCTTGGAACGGGTAATAAATAAAATAAATAAAATGCCTGAATCTTAAAGAGAGTAAATATATAAGAAAGAGTGGGGCAATTTTGCGTTACAAATTAAATATAAATTATTAGGGTCTAAATTTGCAATAACCCACAGATTCATTCTTCAACAGAAACAGAACAGAAAGCACTCAAAAAAAGCGTACATTGTTGGGGGGGGGGGGGGGGGGGAGAGCGGGAGCATCACCTACATATGGAGCCACAGTGTCCGCTGCAGCCCTGAGAGCTGAGTACGGGGGGGGAGAAAAGGAGGTATTTTTAAGTGAGCCATAGCTTTCCAGTTAATTATCTGGCCTTGCCAACCAGTCAAACTCACCTTGCCAGTACACCAAATCAGGATGGGAAACAACCCAGGCCTTCAGTACACGTCTAAACTTTGCATGACCCTCTGGTGATGACAGCAATTCATCATACTGATGGCAACGAGGAATATCAACTTCAATCTGCACCACAGCCAAGCATATAATATAACGAGAAATCAGGACAAGTGGGGTAGTACTACAGCAACCTTGCAACACTAGAGGTGGAAGTCAGCCAAAGAACGCGGGTCAGACCACCATCATAAACACAATCTGCTTCCTCTATCACTCTCAAAACCAAAACTGAAAGGGGACAGGGGACTCTAACAGACCTGCGAAAGATTAAAAATAGAGATTTTTTTTCTTTTTCAGATTCACATTTTTAAAAGGGCTCTAACCCTTGAAAAAGGCAGAAAGCAAATTACAGTTACTAGTTTTTTTCTGACCCAGCTTCTGGACTCATTTCAGGTGCTAATATCACTTTGCTCTAAAGGATAAATCAGAGTTCTCAGAACATTGTACCCAATTTGATGGAAAATATTTCTTCACCCAGCTGAAAGGGACAGCCATTGCTTGTGATGTCTTTTTATGTCTGGCAAGACTTTTTGGAGAACCAAATTGCTCAAGAACCCATTTCTGTGAAGCACAGCTCACCTGACAGGATCTCAGTGTACTCAGCACTATCTCAGCACAAGGTGCAACAGGCACAACAAACATTCGATAAACACAGGACTTTTGACAGTACGTCAGTAATATTCACTACACTTTGCTGCTACTACAGAAACAGTGATTCTGAAGTAAAAGAGGATTTCACTTTCCACATGTTATAATTTGAGTAAAACTACTTGTTCCTATCAGTTTTGCAGAATTCTTTCTACAGCATGCATAAGGTTAGAGAACAGGGGGAACCCTTTTAGTATTATGCAGCCACATCTGCTGTAACAGGCAAATGACTGTGGCTGGTGGAAAAGATCTCTGCGTTACTTCAAGTGACAATATTTGATAACACCAGAAGTCTTACTTGTCTGTCTGTAGGAATCGGTGTGTCTTTATCAATGGCATCATATTTTGCTTGTATGGCACCCTAAAGGAAGAAGAATACTTGAATTTAGAAAGCCCTTACTAACATAAATGTGTATTACAATGTACACGCCGATATACAGAAGTTGACTGTTTTTGTTAGGTGCTTTAGTTAGCAACCTTTTTTCCTGAAAAAAATTTCCCAAAGTACAGAAAATTCTGACAGCTGAATTTTAACAAAACCATCTTTATTCTGTTATAATTCAGGACATATAGACCTTTCTGTCACCTCCTCAGTACAATCTTCAGTAATTTTCAGTTGTTTATGCAGAAAGCTATGTACTTGATACAGTTTTCCATTTTCAAGTTAAGAGATGCTCTCAGTTTAAATTCAGTGCTTACCTCGGCCACTGGCAAGTGGCTTTTAACATCATCTCTGTGAAGGCACTGAATCCAGCTGCCTGTTAATTAATATTGATATTACCAATATACACTACTCTTAAGTAGCCTGTCCTCGCATGAATCCCAATACAGGCATGCTAACAAGTCCATCTTAATGTTATGGGACAGGGAAACACTACCCGCATTGTACAGATGGCAAGCTGATGAAGCATGAGAACTGACTCATCTCCCAACACCCAGGCTACAACCCTGACCAGCAGTTGTTCTTTACCTTTACAGCTTTTTTTTCAGTCATATTATATAGCACTCAGCAGATCACGTCCTAAGCTAAATATCCTAAATAACCTGGGATGTGTTATCTATAAGAATCTCTTTGCTGCACTACTGCAGATTGCAAACAGGGTAGATGCAAAAGCTGGGTAGCCAAGCAATCTCTGTGAGGAGTCCTCATTTCTGGGACATTCCTTCCTAGTCCTTTGTCCAAAAGGGTTACATTTAATGTATTTATTCTCCAAGCCTTTGGAGGAAGTGCATTGACTGGTAGGTGAGAAAAATATATTTGATGTTTCATCCTGTTTTGCCCAACTATTGCTGACTGGAGCAGAAGGATTCTAACTGCATTTGTCAAAAATATTAAAAATCAAAGCAAAGAAAATGGTAACTAGCAATTGTATTTAAACACTCTAGCAAAATTTGGCTGTATGGGTAGTATTTTTCCATCCCATAATCAAAATTAAAGGCAGTCAAGTTTACATACATTCTCTGAAATCAAATAATATTAGAGACAAAAGCAAGTTTGTCTGAACATTGTCTTTGTTCACACAATTTCAAGACTCATTTTGTTTGAAACTCCAGTAATTCTACCTACCAAATCTTCAAATCCATTCCAGCTTCCCTGTCAATCCCATTCCTATCCCATTCCCTCCCCAGTCAGTACTGGAACTTCTGCAAATGCCCTCCCATTACGCTTACCTCAACACCCAACAGGGCAGCCCAGGTTATGCCTCTCAGAAGAGGAGGGATGTCAACTCTGGCTTCTTTCCAAATTTGGTTTTTCTTATATGGGTAAGCCTTCAAAGAGAAGGGATTAACAGCAAAAAATGTTACCATGTAACTGAAGCAATTCAAATCCCAATCCTGGGACAGTCTTTCCCCCCAAGGACAAATGCTGTCAGCCTGAACAGTGAATGCAAGCTTTTCAAGTAAATTTCATTCCTAACTGGAAGGCCTGGATGGAGGACTACTATTTGATGTTAAAATACACACTCCTTCTCATAAATGTATTCATGTGCTTTGGTATAGACTGGATATATAAATTTACTAATCCAAATTTTTATTAAAAGTTTTTTATTCATTATATTTTTCTTTTCATACTATGTATCCAACTTTGTCTTATTAAACATTTCTAGTTTATACCTTCCTAAGTACTGCACTTGATGATGCACATCAGCTCTCTCTCGTTCTTAAGCAAGAATCCATCTCTCTGCATATATGTAAATTAGGGACTGGTACTTTCCCCCCTCAGTATAAAACCCACATTTCTAATATGACACTGCTACAGTAAAGACTGGTATTGTTTTCAAGTGCTTTACTGCTTCAAAATGCAGAAATGTTACAGGCATATTTATACCTATAATAGCTTAGTCTGTTATGAAATAAAGGATGCAGAAGTATTTTCTTCAGTAAGTAACAGGTATTAGCAGCAGCTCTATTTTCATGTGCATACTTTAAAATCTACTTTTATATTAATCACTACTGAAAAGACTATTTCTCATATTTTTATTTTCAATCTTCTTATACTTCTGTAGGGTTTTCTTCCCCCTTTCCCACTGTGGTCTCTTGTATCTCTGCTTCCCTTTTCAATTACTTGGTCCTTTAAAAATCCTCTAATTAACAGACCAAATCCAATTATCCAGCATCAGAAAGATTCCATACCTTCAACAGCCTGTCAAACAGGACAATTCTATTTAGCTGGTACTCTGTGTCCCTCTCCCGGATGATCAGAGGAAGACTAGCAGCTGCAGACAGCTCATTACTACTATTCGAATGAGGTAAAGTTGACTGGCTGGAAAAAGAGTTAGGATAGTAGTAGTGAACAGCAAGAAATACAAATCATTGTGAAAAAGATTAATATCCTGTGATGCATTTCTGAGTCAGAAACAAGTATAAATGGATAATTTTGAATATTCAGCACAAACAGTTGATTTCCAGAACAGAGAAACAGGCTAGGATCCTCGGTTTGGTATCAGGGCCTTAAGTCCACCAGTGCAGAGTGCTTATCAGCTCTCCTTGACTTTAAGACCCAAACAAGGACACGTTAGGTTTGCTTTTGGAAGACAGTTGTGTCTAGCTGCACAGTGTACCACTCAAATAAAACTAACAACTCAAAATTCAGTCCTTTATACACTTACAAACTTACACACACACTTACTCATCTTCAAGCAATGGATAAAATGCTTCCCCACCAACATCTTTCAGTCTCTGAAATGAAGAATAAAAATAATTTGTTATCAGAATGCTGCTCAGAATTCAAGTGGAAATATTTAGTGGAATACAAAAACTATTAATTAGTAATTCATTTGCCAAATTTAGTAGCTTGCCTTGAGACCTAGGCATTAGCTCAGTCCTCCATCAGCAAAGAAACATGCAGCCTTTAACACTAAAAACTTTTGCTAATACAGGCTTTTTGAGTTAATGGAAGTTCTTCTGCATGAAGATAACACTTAGCTTATTCATAAACCTATTTCCATACAAAAAAATAGCTTCTGTGGGCCATGGATTAATAGATCAATAGTATTGCATAGTTCTTTTTCTTTTCCTCGTTTTTCCACATGGACTTCCTATCCAAGTGGCTGCAAAGCAACTGCACAATTTGGTTTTATGTTTTTAATCAGTTTGAGAGTTATGCAAATGCGAGTTCCTTTTAGTAGCAGCACCTGAAAGCTGCATAGAAATACAGACACTCTCTGGAAAGGTGACAGACAAGCATGCCTGGACTTCTGCCTGAAATTTTCAGACATCTTTGGTGCATCGTGATTAATGTTTAATACCATCCTCCCTGCGGTGCTCTGTTTTGCAGTTCAATCCCTAACTTAAAGGCATACGGCACACAGCCTGTCCTCTTGGGATTGACAGAACAGTTCATTCTCAGTTCATTCAGTACTGATCCTCTTTTGATTATAAGCATCATGCTCTGCTCTGTGAAAGGTGTTTGAAGAATTGCGTAAGTTCAAAAATTTATTTCAACCAACACTGCAAGGTTCAGGCTTGTATCTTCCCCAAAATGAAACTTCAGTATACATTTATTTGCTGCTGCATTTATAGAGGTACACAGCAATATCCAAAATTACAGATTAAAAAGTTTAAAAAAAAACAACCCTTAAAAGCTACCCTTTTGTAGGAACAGCAGTAAGAGCTGCAGCGCGTATTACCTTTAAAATAGCTGCTGCATACTCTTAACCTGGCCCCTACACCCCCCAAGCCCCACCAACCAAGCAAACAAAATAACCCAGTTCTTTGGTCTGTTTTCATGTATTTGTGTGAAGTAATGCAAAGTTCTACTTAAGAAATATGTTTACACAGCATTTGCCACATTGCCCCCAAAATTAAGGTAATACTGGCAGAGTTGAAGACTTCAGGAGTCACCTTCCTTTCTGTATTAACCCCTGTAATCATATGGAAAGTTTTTTTATAAAGACTGTGATGGAATTGCATTTGCTACTATAAAAAGCAAGCTGCAAACAATACAGCATAAATTTCTAATTCTACAGCAATAAAGCTCTACATGTGCAAAGAAATGTGAACAATTAAAACATTTCAGTGATATATGCAGTAAATCTTATAACTGGTCATTGCATCAGGCAAAATTATGAATTATATGTTGATTTTTCCACTGAAGATGGAAGAAAACTGCATTACTGCATTTTGGCAAAATGCTTTGAAGTAATCTTTTGAACTAGTTGTTTAATAATAGTTATATATTCCAAAGGTTAGTAATTAACTACTGGAAATGTGGTATCCAACTTTAAGTATAAAGCCTTTAAGAAGCTGCAACTGAATTGAGTTGATCTTTCTTTTGAATATTGTGAGCCACCTACAGACAGGAATTAAAGAATGCAAGAAGACACTCGCTGTCCAATTAGTTTAGCAATTGTGGAGAATATCAGTTATTACAGAACTATTTGGGCTACACCAGAACAAAGCAGGTAACAAAAATAAGGAAAGGGGGGGACACAGAAAGGGGATAGAGGGACAGAAGATAAAGCAAATTTAGTAGTAAGCTTTCGCAGACAAAGCAATTTAATAGCATAAATCAGAATCTGACTCAAGACACCAAGAAGTGTTCTCTTGGAATTAATAACACTGTCATTTGTAGGAACAGCAGTAGGAGCTGCTGTTCTGTATTCCTTTTAAACAAACGTTTCTGCAGTGAAGACATGAGAACAAGTGCACAATATTCTTCTTACGTTTCGGAGCTGGCACAGAGACAAAGTCACAGTTGTGTCATCTAGGAGGGAACTTCTATCTCGTCCTTGCCCAAAGCTCTCACCATCTTCTAATAAAAAGCTTCAAAAGGGAGGGAAAAAAAAAATCAGGTCATTTTATAACATAAGACTTGAGTTAGAAAAAGAAATTCTTACATCAATCAGTTTCCTCTTTAAAACAAAGGACTAGCTCTTAGAAGTATACTGTATTGACTCTGCATGGTATGAAACCTGCTATCAAGGGAATATACAATCACCTTAAATTATTCAAACAGTTTTTGCTGTAAAAAGGCACATTCCAGGTTTTCTATAACTTTGGTTTGCACACAAAGGAAAAGTAATGAGATATGGGATTAATATTCTCTTTTATTACTTGACCTGGCACAGACCAGGACTGCCATTTATTGTGAAAAGCAAAAATAAAACATTATTGTCATATGAAAGCCATTTCCGACCATGACAAAAACCAAGCAAAAGTCTGACCCAGACCTTTTCTGTCGCAGTCCATCTCAGGATACAAATGCATCCAAGAAAGAGTATACACAAATTGTCTATGTGGTGACATTTTTAAAGCAGACAGCATGAAATTGATTTCCAGAAATTAAGCTAATATTCTCAGTATCACTTAGAAGATGGGGTTAGATTGCATTTTTGAAATTAACACCTCATCTTCAAGATAGATAGTACGACAAAAAATGTTTTCCCCTCATAATTCAAAAGCACACACACTCACTTATGGGTACAGAAATGGGCAATCCCTCAAAATCTCACACTAATTTTGCCACCAAAATATCACTTCAAACCTAGCTCCACCATTTTTTCCAAGGTACTGCATTTTGGCTGTACACTGACTTCATGGTTTGTTTTTTTTTTTTTTTTTTTTTAAACCCAGAACCAGCAAATTGACACATAATACGGACACATAATTATGCTTATTAAGACCAGATTATAGGATTAAAACATGACTATACTACATAAAATTGCAACTTGTGCAGCACTAAGATAAAAGTAGTAATGACTAAAATGCTGTTACAGAATTATAAGTCATAAAACTAAGCATTTTAAAAAAAGTAATCAGCTGATCTGCTGAATAATTGGGTTGACCATTCAGCACTGCTGCTCTGTGAAAGGGAATTCAGAATGTGAGAATTTGCTATAGAACGTATTAAATTAAATTACACAAATATGCTGTTGAAGCACAGTGAGACATTTTTACTAAAACTTAATGCTATTGGAAAGTGTGCCAAATTTGGGGACTTCCAGTTCAGTATTTTACACTTCATCTACATTTCTTCAAATTTCAGAAAGCAATATGAAATGCAGGTAGGCGACAGATATAAGGCATTCAAATAATGCCTTAAATTGCGTAAGAGGGGAAGTGACATGATTTCCTGCAGTTCAAGAACACTATTTTCAATATTTTTTGCACATACAGGTCTTGAAACTAAAAACCAAACCAAACTGTTCTCTCAGAATCACTGGCCTTCTCCATCCATCCTCCTTTCCCTTAAAGTGCTTCTCCTTCCTTACTTGGGAAGTGTGCAGACAGGTGGCTTTGATCGAATGATTTCCTTGTTGACAAGTTCTTTCTCCAAGTCTCCTCCAGCCAAACACCAGAGATAATAAACCTCTTCAACTGATCTTTCTGCTAGGTAATCACTATCTTCATCTATTAGGAGAAACCACACAAAAATGAGTTACAGCTTTTTAGGCAGTTTGTATTTCTTCCTACCACTCTAAACACGTTGGAAAAAAATTTATTATGCTTGAAGGTCCTAGACCTTAACGTTAAGTTAGAGGAAAAGTGATCTTCCCTCTGCAAGTACCCTTTAGGAAGATTTAAGGAAAGAGCAGATGGGCAGAAGTCAGAAAAAAGCAAATATTTCCGCAGTTTGCCTTGGTGCCAAAAATAGAACCAATCAGATAAATACATTGAAGTGCGGACTTTTGCTTCCTGTGTCTTTAAAAAAAAAAAAAAAAAAAAAAAAAAAACCAACCAAAAAACCCCCAAAACAAAAAAACCTCAACCAAACACTGTTTTGTACACAACACAGTGCTAAGAGTAAAAATAAGAAACTAGTGATTCATATTGAGTAGTTATAATATATCTTCCCGTCACATACCATACCTATACTAAGAAGGTATAAAATCTTAGTCTCCAAAAACTGTATAATGAGATTTTTTAAACATGTAGAAATTTCTGAGTTCATCAGAAAAAGCTAATGGGGACTTAAGAGTGGCAATACTTTCAGCATACTGTAGTTTTAAACTTACAAATGTTATCTTTCATTCTACAATGTGACCTTTTTCACAAGGATTTAGTTTTCCTACTTCCAAAAATCACCTCATGCTATGATCCAGCAGAATCCAATTACCAATTCACAACACAATTTACTGAAAAAAACCCCACACCAAACCAAAAAAAACCCAACCCAAACTACCTTGTACATGTACATGTCCAAATTCTAAAGACAAAAGAAGACATTGATATTCCAAGCTGGACTTGAATACTAATGATAACTATTTATTCCCTGAGGTTGAAGCACAAAATCAAGATGCCCTCCTTTGACTTGCACACATCCCTCAAAACATGTTTGCCCATATCTCTGCCCATTAAATAACTTATTACAAGAATGTAGTATTGTAACATTTAATAGTTTCTCTACAAGAAAGTATTCAAAGAAAACGCGAAAACATTTTATTTTCCTTCCCCCTCCAATGACATTTATCCCACTATCTGCTTTTACCTTTACATAATTGACTTATGTCTTCAGGAAGCGTTAAATTAGCACACCTTGGAGAAGATGAGAACAGACCAACAGGTTTGTGGAAGGGAGGGTATACTGAGGATACTTCACTGAACAAACTGTCATGCAGCAATTCCTCTGGAGTTGGCCTTGAATTAAGAAAAGAGAATAAAAGGCTGAAAGTAAAGTGCTTCCAAAAATGTTACATTCCAGTAAGAAATGTCCCCAGTAACAAATATTAGCAAGCTATTTTAAATTCTATTGGATTTCAGAAATTTTAATAGCAAGAGAGTCTACCAATTTTGTTCAATTCATGATGCATAACAGACCACACCGTCTGTTTACAGCCCAAGTTCAGACCTCATCTTCATTTAATGCACATAGCAACTATTTTATTAATTCCCCTTTAATTCCTCTAAGCAGAGATGGAAAAATGCAAATGTAAAGCCTTGATTAAAGAACAAAAGCATACTTTAGTTTCCAGAAGAAAGTTGTGGTGGACTGACATAATGAAAAAGTACTTTGAAGGAAGAGATTTTAAGAAAACGGCCCTAATTCTGGCTACAACAGAGCTGTAGGAACCACCACAAACTTCCAGACATGGAATCCGTAAAAGCTGTGAACTTAGAACTACAAATGCCTGAATAGTTTCCCCAAAAATACTCAGCTTCAATCTCAAGGTTTTGCACACTTCATTTCCGCCCCCCTCTCCCCCAAGTTCTTTTCCTTTAAACATTGAAAAGCAACAAAACCGAGAATTTCTTATAGGTAGCACAAATTGTCAGCATTTCAAAAAAAGGTTCAGCAACAGGTCTTCTAATTTCATAGTATCCCAGCAGAGTTTACTAGGCATTTGGACTGAATACTTGCCTCTTAGAAGGTTGGAACGTAAGGCATTTCTTCAGCAGAGCTATGATGTTTTCAGGAAGGTCCTGGAACATAAGAAAAATATGGAGGAGGTCTGTTTATTACTGTCTTAATTCAGCAAGCCACTTAGCTCATACTTAACTTTTAACATACAGGCTATTCCTTTGAGGGCAATAAAATTTCACACCTACACATATGAGGTTAGCTGTGTTAGATCAAAATGCTGGGCAAGTAATTCTTCTCACCCCGCAACCCTGCATTTGCTTTGGGGGAAAAAAAAAAACAAACAACTGAGAAGTTTCCAATGTATGCAGCTTTTTATTTTTATTTTTTAATTTAGATATTCTGTACCCAGCTTGAAACAATGCAGTACCTGGGAACTCCCTTCTGCTAATAGTCAGAATCCTTTTATGCAATGTTTCAAAATATACAGACACTAAAATTCAGTGATTAATTTTGGGGGTGGGAAGGAGTTGAACTGGATAAACTACACTATCAGAATGTGTAAATTGGACCAGATAGAAGACTAAATTTCTAGAAGAAAAATACTTAACCCACACACACTTTAAAGAAAATTTATAACTTATTAAACTATCCAGAGAACATTAACATTTACTGAGACTGACAGTAATTTTAGGAAAGACTGAATATTATCAGTACTGGCTATTTGAAACGATCTTAAATACATAGTTCAGGCTTCAAAATTTTTCCTCATACTGCAATACATCAAGCAACCAAATAAGTTTAACAAAAACAACAACAACAAAATATATATATATATGTGAAATACTGTGCAACAATAATAAAATGTTTTGGATAAGATGGCACGGAAGAGCAAACTAGTTCCACAAACCTTAATAATATCAAGGCAACCATGTTCTTCAGCCAATACAGTTACAATATCATCTACATAGCCTTTGACAAACAAACAGAACAACAAAAAGTTAAAGATTATGAAAAAAGTGATATCAATTAAACAGGATATCAGATAAAACCCCACCCCAATAGAAAACACTTAACTTTGGCTTTTTATTGTTGTTGCCACATCAGCTGAGAGTGAATTCTCAAAATTAGAAATGAAAATTATTACTACCTATGCATACAGAAAATCAAAAGCCTAAGAAAGATAAGTAGCACATCTAATTTAACAGTGAAAATCTTTTTGCAGGCTTAGTAAATCCAGAGTGTCAGTCTCTGCCAAATAAATTAAATCAGTTTTTCCACTAATTAAAACAAACAAATAAACAAACAAACAACAAAAAACCCTGAAAGAACTTAAAAATACCTGCATATAGAAGCTCAAAGTAATTTTCATTTTGTTGCTGCTTGCAGACAATACTAGCAGTATTTTATAACTTGGTTTTGACACATTATTGAGAAAATAATTTCTAAGTCAGGACATGAATGTTTTTCAGTGGATAAAGGTTACCAATAACTTGCATTCAACTCGAATGGGACTGAAATACTTCAGAAGCTTTGTTAACAAACCTCTTATCAAAACAGTCAGAATTTCAGCACCGAAGCACTAACTGCTGAATGAAAAAGATGTTTCTACAGACAGTACTAACTTTAACAGTATTACTATTTGATGTGTACAATAACAACTTACTGATAAAGCTTCAAACTGCAAATTCATGCCCTCCCCCTCCCACAGGAGTAACCAAACTTTAAAAGACAAAAAATAATCCCACTTCCAGATTCATTTAGATTAAGCAAAAATTCCACGTCTACAGTAATGCTTTACAGTTTATAGGTGAAGCCAGAAACAAAAGCCTGGGTCCAGTAATACGCTTCTCAGCCCCCTCTTTATTTTCTCTCTTCCTATTTGAGTCCTGCTTCTCCCTGCTTGGGATTTCGTACACAAGCACTGCTAGTATGGGGACAGTTTTCCTTAGCGTCATACAATTCCTAACTCATTTCAGAAACCTGCTGCAACACAAACCAGCAAATAACCATCAAAATGACAACCTTTTCTGAGCATGCTTTTTTATAGTTTGCCCTTACGCTAACATACTCATAGCTCTTCTGCAAAGTTATTTTTCCTGGTCCCCACCTCTGTACCTTCCCTAGACAAGCAACCATGCTTCAAACGCCTATTTAATTCTGGAGATGAAAACTGACAAAGGTAAAGTGCCTTAGGTCTGAGCATCACAAGCTGACTAGTCTGTAAAGCTCTAATTATAGAACTGCTTAGAAACTTAAAAAATTGATTTTGTGCTACTTACCTAACATAATTATAAATTTCAGTCTTTCTGCTATCTCCAAACTCTGGAATAATTTTCTCCCCTAAACAAATAACAAAATCAAATCAACAGTTTAATGCTACCATATAAATATTTAGATAGCATACACAACCATCTGTATACAAAGACAGTGAAATAAGCATCTACACACGAATTTTAGATTTAGGAAAACTATCTGTTAGAACAGAAAACATTATTTATCCCAACTATAGCAGAAACAGTTTCATGCCATCATAAAGAAAAAAATGTATCATTTATAATGTCTCTTAACTGGAACAAATGCAAAACCAAAAAAAAAATATGCAAAACAAAGCCTCAAGCTCCCTCAGCAAACCTGCAGGTTTATTATTAATTCAGTAACAGGCTTTCAAAAACTGTATTTTTTCCAATGTGAGCGTGAACAAAGGTAATTAATTACTAAACATAGTAATCATCAGAGCTTGTATTATTGCCCAGTGCTTTTGAAAAGTCATCCAAAAATCCCTTTAAAAATATCATTACTGCATTTTTAAGAATATTTATTCTTTTGAATAAGTACATTATGATCTATGAAAATTTTCAGAAGAGCAGAATATGCAAAAGACGACTATTTCCAATGTCCTGATCTAATCTCTATTAAAACAGGTTCTTGACTGTCAACTGTCTGACATTTTAGTCATCTTATATGATGAGACTAAATATCAATACTGAGGAATTTTCTAGATCATACCTCCCTACAGAATGTTGCTGTCTTTGAACGAAAGAAGTCCAGTTTAACATATACAAATAGTAAAGATCATGATGTCAATTTATTTCAACTTCTAGAGTCAAATAAGCATTTTCCAAATAAACCCTTAATTCTGTACAGAAGCTCTTTAAACTCTGGCAATATGCTAGTTTCTCCCTTCTCTTCCTATCCATGAATCTTTATTAGTTTCTCATCCTTTCCAAGGAGAATGAGGGCATGACAGCAATGGCTATTTCATGCTTAAAAGCACTATTAAAACAAGAAATTATCTAGAGAGTCTTCTTGGTTCAGAAGCTATTCCTTGCTAAGAATTCAATCATGCAATCATGTTATTGTGGCTTAACAGGCACCTGCCCTTCATGGTTAACACATATACTCGTACCAAGCCAATATGTATCCTACTACTTGAACTACCACCAATGCTGCCCAGGTAGGAACGCTAACATATTCTGATATTTGGACTCTGGTGACAGGCAAAGCATCATTAACCCCGTACTCAATATCAATCAAGTTAATGTAACTATTATTCCCCAAGAGTCACAATCAAGAGAATTATCCTCTTACATACCATGCAGAGCTCAAATAATATTATACCAAGAGACCACAGATCTGATTTAGGGCCAGAAGGCAGAGGCTTCTCACACTGAGTATGATCACTTGGTTTGACTATTCCCTGGGCAATTACTTCAGGTGCCAGATATGATGGGTACCTAGAAAGATGCAGCAACATTAAGTAATATCCTGTCTGTCCAAAACCCCTACCTTTCAGTTACAGTAACCAAAATAATTTTGCATTCTGGGAAACTAGAATTCATAGCAATGCAGACTGTTCTATTTTACTCAGTCAAAATCTACACGTTGCAGCAAAGTTTCACTCCAATTGCAAAATTCATAGTGCCTACTACATAAAAGGTCAAATCTTAATCACTAGCTCTGTCTTTTTGAGAGAGGAAGTAACAGCAGCTTTCAAAATAGTATGCCTACATATCTCAAAGAAAACGTATATTGAGTTTCAGCACTAGTACATTAAATAAATGTATTCTAGACCCGTATTTTGGGGGTGGTGGCAGTATTCTCCTCCATTGACAGTGTTCCCATTAAATAACTTTTGAATTTGTAAAAAAAGTAACAAAAGGTGTTGAAGACATATTCTGCTTGCTGCTAGATCATTTCAAAATAACATTATCGCTTTTTCTGTCAACAATTCATTATAATACTTAAAAAAGAAATCTGAAATCACCTTTTGAAGGGAAACATCATTACTTTTTTGGGCATGTCTTTAAGAACCAGCTCAGTGTTTCAATTGTAAACAACATGACATCTCAAAAAAACAATAAGTGGCAAGGAAACACTGCAACAAAGCATTGCACTTTGGCTAGACAGAAAGATGACTTGAAAATAAATCACAAAATGATAAAGAGACAAGAGACCTACACTGGTGTGCAATGGCGAAGTACTGATTGTGTTTCTTCCTAAATTTGAAATTAGATTGTACCTCCAAAATCCGAGTCACAGGGAACTACTAGAATTTGAAGGCAAATCTAGGCAATAAGGACTGACATCACATAGGTATAATAACATGCTTGCATGGTACCCATTCTCTGTCCTTCATTAATTTCACCTAGTCAGATGATAACCTTCTCAGTGATGTTATCAGAAGCTTCTGTGTAAGAGGTGTACGCAACAGATATGAATTAAACCAGCAGCCCATAACCTGTGCATACAACACATTTTTGAAGATGATTCCTCAAAACATAAATAGAAAAAGTAAATCCCTGATATATTCGCATTGTGTAGCTCCATCCTTACCCTATAGGGAAATCAACATCAACACCCTGAGCAGTCATATGGTAGAGTCCAAATTTAGCCAGCTTCACATGTCCCTGAAAAGGAAAAAAATAAACAATCAAAAGCAGCAAAATCTGACATCAGGAGAATCTGTGTTTAAGTTTAAAAAAAATCATTTCAAGCTGCATTTGCTGTCAGAAGACAGATACCTATAAAAAGTCACCCTCTTACATTTCTGTCTCATCTATTACGCAGAACTCCACTGCAAGTTAATAAGGTGCTTATTTCTAATGCATTTACTTTCCAAGAGCATTAAGTAATCACCTTGTTTGGAACACACAAGAAAATCAGAACTTTGTAAGTTACAGTATATTTTCAGTAAATTAAAACGGCTTAAATACTCTATTGAACATTTTTCCTGTTTGAAAACTGTTCAAAATCCTGTTTGACTCCTAGAACTCCCTAGTTATCACCACTATTCCCTCACCTTTTCTGTTTACCCAGCCTTGCTCCTCCAGTCCTTCCCATCAACTCATTACTATCTTGCTCTCCTTAACTGTATCAACACATATTTCAAACAAACAAGTTTTTCAGGTGCTTGCTTTTATTCTCTGGAGGCAGAAGTTAACACCAAAACAACAAAAAATAGACACAGAAGTTGAACTGAGGTATTGCTTCTGCTGGATTTTGAATTATACTCAGCCAGCCTGCAGATGGTGCAACAGCAAAGGCTACATCAGCAAGCTATTCAAAGTGCAGGGGAAAAGTTTAGAAGTTTACGGTCTCATATTCCTAAAATCAATAAAAGAACAAAAGGAGGCCATGTTAAAATCCTAAAGAACTTTTGCTTGTTAGAGCATTATTATGACTTTCATTTGTTTACAAGTATACCAAAAATAGTGTTCCTTCCTTCCTTCTTTTTTTTCTTTCTGCCTTTCAAGGGGAGAATCTAGCTATTCTATCTAAACTGAGTAAGAAGGGGAAGGAGAGAGGGGTTATACAGACAGGCTAATCTCTTTAGCTGTCAGTTCAGATGAAGCGACTGCTCCGAGTACAACAGCAGCTGTTAATTTCTTTCAGTTTTTATGAGCAGAACCTGTATTCCACACTTCCCGCTCAATAGTCTGTGACAACAGACTTGGCAGACACTGGAATTTTAATAATTGAACAAAGAAATACACTGATATCTTAAAACTCAAGTATCAGATCACCATGAAACAGGCGAAATATTATTAATAGCTAATTAGCCAGAAGAAACATTTTCCTTTTCAAACAGCTAGGAAGGTCTTGTAACTAATTACACAATGATGACAAGTAGACTTAGATTACCACCTTAAGAAGAAAAGGGTGAAAAAAGTGGTTTGGGATAGAAGCAAACAGGAAAAGCGAAAAATAAAATCTAAAATACATTTGAAATTTAGGAAATGGGGGAAAACTGTAGTTTAAAAAAAAAAAAAAAAAAAAACCCAAACAAAAACCAAACAGAACCATAGATTTACTCCTGTAGTTGTACCTTTCGATCCAAAAGGATATTGCAAGGGGAGAGCGCTCGATGGACCATTCCATGTTTGTTCATATATTGCAAACCTTGCAAAACCTCATATGCTACGCATAAGATGCTTGAAGAACTGCAAAAAAAAAAAAAAAAAAAGATGGAAGGAGATATTTCATTGAATGTTTGCCTTTTTAATTTGTAAAAAGGTAGAGTGTTCCACAGCTATTCCAAACAAAAGTGAGACATTTACAATTCCAGGACAGTTTAAGGGATCAACACTGAATATGGTAGTATATGTTCAGTGCCATACACAACTCCTCAATGTCCCACAACTAGGTTTCTTCACCCTGAACAGGTCCGTAAAAACAGCAGAATATTGTGACAAAGTATAGAATATTCTCTGTGATAGAAACTGTGAGATATACCTCAACTAATTGGGGAAAAAAACCCCCAACCCTCCTTTATTTGTATTTGTTCTTTCTGTTTGTCTAATATTGATGTTCATAGAAAAGTTCAACTGAAGAAAAGTTTTTTGAAACTCAGGTATTAACTGGAGCTTATCAAGAAGATAGTGTGGAAGCATGGCTAGATCACACCTATAGTCTTTGGTCATCTCAACATCTAAAACAAGAAACAAAAAGGGCAGAAAACTTCATTTTCAGCACATTTTGTTTTACAACCTTGGAAGCATCAACCTTACTGTCTTTGGAAAGGAACAGTGAAGTTTACCATCCAAACCATTTTGATATTACTATGTATTTTGACAAAAATTATCATTTACTATAAGAACTGATAGCCCTAAAGAGGAGTTTCTGTGAACAAGTGACCAGGAATTTGTACAGAGACCACCAGTATTAGGCTTCCAAAGTGCACCCAAAATAAGAACAAAAGGCACAGACCTACCGTCACCCAGAGAGATTCCTTTTAACATTTTACCCTCCTCATTTCCTACCCACTCCCCCCTCAGAGCACATTTCAGGTCTGTTTGGCAACTTCATCTCTAAAGACACTGGTTTACAAAATGTCCAGAAAACAAAGCCTATCTCCTTAAAAAGGCCTAACTTTACATCCCCATTTTTTTTTCTTCATTGTTAAAGAATAACAAACAGCAGCATTCTGGACAAGGCTCGCCACCTCTTGCTTATTAAAAATCTGTGCAACAGCAAAATGAGGGGGAGCATTACAGACTGGTGAGAGTGACAAGCCAACTAGCTGACTAAGCACCAAAATTAATTTCTTTATTAAAGCTTTATTAGTTGCTATTCATACCTGATAGAATGCTAAAACTTTGTCACAAGAGTAAATAGCTAGATTTTGACAAAAGCCACAATTCCAACAAATTCTGAGACTAGGGCAACACAGAAATACTGAAAAGAGCTGTTTTAATAATAGTCTAAGGCCACCATTAAGTTACCTTATGGGGAGCTATTCTCTAGATTCTAACCTTTTTCCTAGAAGGAGAGCTCTGTACTGCTTTACACTAGTCGTGAATATACACTTTTAAGTTAAAATTTAAGTACAGAGGGAATCTATTCTAACATATGTCCACACTGCTGTATCTTAGATCGTAGCATTTGGAAGTGATTCTCAAGGTCTTAGCGATTCAACCAAAACCACATGACTAATAACCACAAAAACAAAACAAAACCCCACAACTATCTCGCTCCTCCCTCACTGGCACTTTTTCTTCCCCATCCCTCCCACCCCAAGTTATACAATACACCACAGCATCAGACACCACTAGCTGTGTAGTGTTTCCTCCCAGTCATTCTTGGGCAGTGATATAACTGAGGTAAAAAAAAAAAATTACCTTACAAGCCTTCAGCTTCCCTGTATGGCTTTTTGCCTGCGATGCTAATATTAATGATAATGGTTGCAAACGGAACCCTCTCTCTCACTTTTTGCGCAGCTTTGCAAAACAAGACATGAAAAAGAAATGATGGAGAATTCATGTTTCCCGTAAGGAAACAATTGCATGTGAACCACTGGTACACCATGAGGTATTTTAGCCTAAAAAGTGTTTCTTTGTATTAAAAAAGAAAAGTAAATATAAAGTGCAATTTTGTGGCCGTTGTGCCTGAGGAGTGCAGTGTGCTCTGGTGGCACCAGGGGGCCTCAGCCACCCATTTATTCTCCACGTTCTCTTATAAAAATAGAACCCAGGCAAATGCCTGAAAATACTGCTTTTGCATTCTTTGCTCTTTAAGGGAAATCCTCCATGGCGCTACAACGACCAGCAACACATGAATGATAAGTATTTTTCATTGCACGTAATTCTCAGTGTTCTTAAGCTCTTGATGCCACCCTGCTGGGCAGAAGCGTTCAGCCAAATACCTCACCCTCAAGGTAAAGCAGGTACACCACCTCCCCAGGAGAGAGGGAACTCTGTATAACAAGCTCTTCATAGTGCTGTTGCACATTATCTAGTTCTTATTTCAGTTATTAAGTAAAACACACTGCAGTTATTACCCATGAGATTTGCATTTAATTGCAAAGGGCCTGACAACAACACTCTTCACTGTTATTGAGCACAAGAAATCTCTCTGCTTTAAACTCCCCAAGGACAAGTTCAACAGCAGTCCCTTGCCTCACTGGAGATGACTACCAAGGCTACCCCCTTGCTTCAGTGGGGCTCAGCTCTCTTCCAGTTGCTACAACCACTGTCAATGTTGCACGCACTGCAATGGGGTTCTGCAAGTGCAGCAGGTGCACTCATGAAGCTGCTTCCAGGCTTCAGGTTAAGTTGACCTTTAAAAAAACCCCCATAAATAGAAAAAAAAAAACAGTCCTAAATGAGGAGGACATTTGCAATACCCAATGTTGGTGGTGAGGTCTGAACAGATTCAGAAACTTTTTCCCTGATTACCTGGAAGCCTGTTTTTCAATAGACTAGCTCGTGTTGAACTATGATAGATCTAGAGAAGTGGTTTAACCACCGGGACTCTTGAAATGCAGAGGTTTCAGCACGCTTCTTTAACAGGAGGTGGGGGAAAAAAACAACAGCAAAAGCACTAGAAACAGCACAGGAGAAAAGTTGGCAAAATGGAGGCATGGCAGGTTCGACACCAACCATGCTGCACCACTGACTTAATGAGAGCCGTAATGACAGTTGTGTAGCATGAAATACCCTGTTCATCTCAGCAGCTGATGATCATGGTTGTGACTTCAAACTATGGTGAAGCAAACCATCCACTGCTCAAGGCAGATACGGTAGGAGTTAGTAAGTAAAAGCATGAAAGTGTGAGATGCATTTCAACAACTAGCAGATCTGAAGGGGCACTAGCTGTCTTCAGTTTCCTAGCTCTCCTAACAAGACTTGTTTTAAGGTTCTTTTCCTCTCCACCAACAGGAGAAAAAGAAGCAACAGGGGTTTCTCTGCAAAAGGAACACTTCAGACAGAAAAAAAGGCATGATCTCTCTACAACTACCAGCACATTTTCAAGGAGCAGGCTTCATTTTAATCCTCAGTCTGGATACCAACAGATCTACTCAGCTGTAGCCTTCTCAGGTAGGCTTTTGAAAAGGAGTTCTCTCCAAGTGAAAGGATTGCACACTGATGTAAAATCAAACTGCTTGGATTTAATCATTGCCTGCTTTTTGTCCTGGTTTGGAGCAGAAGAAAATTTTAGCCATGAAAAGGGGCCATTTTGTGTTCCTTCATTCTAGAAATGAAGAATTAAAAGAATATAAGGATTAAAACCAATACCAGGTTTAGGTCTGTAACTTGAACGTACAGAATCATAGCAAAGGAAGCGCAAACGATAACAGAATTCCTTCCTCAGAAATTCATCTTGGGGCGGGGG